AGACTATGTTTACTTGGTGACTTGAAGAATAATTCTTTTATATGGGTCTTTTCTACCAGCCACATGTCCCCTGACAAATACATCCTGGGACTAAAGCGTCCATTATTACACCTCTTACTCAACTTCTACGACTGTTTTTAATTAGACATTTCCTGATAAACTCGCAGAATCACTGAAGACTGTTTTCAAATTAAGATAAATAGTTTACCTGGAATTGGATCTCTCGAGAATAATATAATATCGAAACTCTTGTCCAACCAAACTTGTGCGCTAAGGCAATAAATGCTGTACTCATGGCCGATGCTGAAGGAAYGGTTCTTAAGAAATAGGGGTATTTTTTAGAGTCTGAAAGTTCACCAGATGYCGCTGCTGCAGAAACCTGAAAAAAAGAAAATTTGAAACTATAAATATACATGCACTTCGCCTTCTTTTCATTTATTAACATTTTTCTAAAGTGTGTACAATGTCCTCCTTAGCTCTTGTGCTGTTGGACGTCATATCGGTTAAATCTAATGAAACATATGGGGAAAACCCAATCTCGTACCCAGAGCCCACGTTTCTCATGGTCAGCACCAAGAARCGAGAGGCTCTGGTTGTAACCGATTTTCAATTGGCTTCCGGTCCGTGAATTTCGGATCGGAAGTTTCAACTGCGCATGCCTTAATCACAGGTAAGCTGATGTTTGGGTTACCTTTAATCTTCAGGAATCCAAATCGTTTCGAACAAACGGTAATCAATTTTTGACCTTTTTAGCTTGGATATAGTGCCTTCTTATCTAGTTTATTTAGTAAATTTTTCCTCCGGGTACTAATTGCTTGTGCTATTTTGTGAGTTTTTAAGGTTTTTTTGAGTTCAAATCATCCCGACAAATGCAAGAGCGATCGGCCGCCAACTCGACTCGCACTAATCCTCGTGAAAATTTGCTTAAATTTCAGTCTCCTTCTCATCTACTTCGGATATGCGAAAGATTGATTATCGTACCACATTCTAGCCAATTTTGAGTTCGATCCAAGCCATTTTGTGCTTGAAAAATCCACTTATTTCCTGATATTTTGGAGTCTGTTAGCCATTTTATTTCCGGAACGACTCTTTCTATTGTTTTCCCCCGGACCAATAGGAATGATCAAAAA